CCTTAGGATTAGATCACTATGTTTTCAATTGTATGCTTTGTATGCTTTAATTTTGTGGGCTTGTATCGGAGTTCTATAGATCCTAACCCGGATCTGGGGATACCCTTTAGGTAAGTAGCAATAAACTGTGAGGGATCTGTACGGCGTAGACCAATACGGATGAAGCAGTAGCTACGTTGGTGTGACACCTTAGTCTGTACCGATATCCCTTGTGTTGGAATGAGGAGAATATGGGTCTTCTAAGGAGTCATTAAGCACCAACTGACCTTAGAACCTTAAATTGACCAACTTGGCCATAGAACAGTAGCAGTATGCTACACTCATTGAGACTAAACTCTCGCGATGATTCCGGCCGCAAGAAAAGGTTGCTAAATTGGAATTATAACCGATTGAGGGTAGTCAGTGATATTGAGATCCTCTGGAACCCGATTACTATTTTTAGGACAGGTTTAAAACCAACTGAACTGAAAGAGGGTAGTACCTAAGCTTCATGCCAGCCTGAAATCTAAGGGCTCTCAGTGTGACTTGTGTGCCTTTACCATGTTTGCGTTTTGTGGATACTTGTGGTGTGCCTTTACCATGACATCATGACATCATAACATTGCATACATCTTGCATAAGGACTAACCTATTTCAAGGACAAGAGGGTTTCATCTTTGCTCTGTTTTGTAGGTCATCATGATGTCCATGCGTAGGAATACTATCCTGATCAACTTTGTCCAAGTACCTATCCTGCTTAAGGAGTTGGTTGTCAGGATTCTAGACACTACTTCCTTCATTAGAAGGCATGGCTCTCTTCTCAGTTTGGTCACCTCAAAGTTGGACAAACAAATGATGAGCATCCTGGTCCAGTTTTATGATCCGCTATACCATTGTTTCACCTTTCAAGACTTCCAGTTGGTCCCTACCCTGGAAGAATTCTCTGAGTTGCTTGGTATCTCGGTTTTGGAGCAAACTCCGTTTACTGGTTGGGAAAAGACTCCTAGGCCCGAGGAAATTGCTGCAGCCCTCCACTTGACCAAGGAGGAGGTGATGGCTCACTGGGAGACTAGAAGTGGAGTTAAGGGTTTTCTGACCAAGTTTTTGGTTGACAAAGCTAATTACTTCTGGGACAGCTTGGACTTCAAGGCATACGAGGACATTCTGGCTCTCTTGATTTATGGTCTGGTATTGTTTCCGAATCCTGACACTTTTGTTGGTATTAATGCTATAAAGATCTTCATCTTTCAGAATCCGGTACCCACTCTCTTGGGTGATATGCTTCATCAGCTCTATGCTCGTACTGCCCAAAAGCGGGGAACTTTGATGTGTTGTGTTCCTTTATTGTCGAGGTGGTTTTATTTCACACCTCCCTAAGTCCGTGCTGAAAAACAAAGAAGGAATGGGTTGGGCTTATAGGGTGATGTCTCTTACTAATGATGACATTATCTAGACTCTCAAAGGTATGGATGAGGTGACTGTGATTGATCGCTGTGGAGAGTATCCTAATGTTCCATTGATCAGAATCCATGGAGGGATTTCTTACAAACCATGTTTAGCTCTCCGTCAGTTTGGAAGAGCCAGAAGAGAAGGGCCTCATGAGATGTTGATGCCTCATATCATCTTTTATTTTCAGGGAGATAGCGACGAGCTGCGTCATAGATTCATCAGGGCTTGGGATAGAGTTCACCAATATGACCCACATGAGTTGGGACCAAAGACTTCTCTTCCAATGGAGCCATACCTCAGATGGGTCCGCATCCGTGCCCAGAAGTTAGGTATGCCATACGAACTGTCAGGCCTGTTACTCTTGAAGTTGCTGATAAAGACGGGGTTTTTCCAACTATTCTCCATCCTCATATGCCCACTGATATTGGCACACTGAAGAGGTCTTGGATGCAACTGCGGGAAGAACGAGATTCTTATCGGGAGAGGTTCAATGAACAAGAACAGAAGATCCAGAAGCTGACTAAGAAACTAGAAAATGAGCGAATCCTGAATGATTATGTCCGCACTGAGAAGAAGAGACCATGGGAACATTGATGGACCTTTGATGATTTCTTTTACAGTTTTTATTTACTTTTCAGTATTTCCATTCTTGTAACGCCTAAGGGAAATTTGTTGAACAATTTAAATTCTGAAGTTAAATCTAATAAAGTTTGTTTCCTTTCTTGTTTACAAATTTGAATCCCGATTGTCTTTGAAATCATAAATCATACGCATTTCATCTCATGCACTTCATAAATAGGTACCCTTTTACAGGTCTCTTATCTTCTTCGCTGTTTATTTCAGCAATTATCATGTCTACTGAACCTTCCACTGAGCAAGCTATCAAGGCCCTCCAGGCCCAGAATGCCCAATTTCAAGAGTTGGTCATGAGCCTAGCTAAGGGTCAGCAGGACCTGAAGACCCTGATTCTGAAAGAAAGGAAGAAGAAGAAAAAGAGGACCATCCTGTTCAATACTGGACGCAGGTTTGGAAATGGGCTGCAGAATGAAGTTGATCTGACCACCTCATCTGGGGGGAAAGATAGTCCACAAGAAAGGAGGGATCCTAGCCCTATGGTCTCCGACAACGAGACGGACTATGATGAAGAACAGTATCCTCCTGCTGAGGATAAGTACAAACAGCTGGAAGACCGTTTGAGCGCTATGGAGATACAGAAGGTGCCCAGTCTGGACTTCGGAGATCTGGGTCTATCATCTGGGGTGGTGATTCCCCGTAAGTTCAAGGCACCTGCCTTTTCCAAGTATGACGGAGCTTCCTGTCCAAAGCTACACCTCCGGTCATATGTGAGGAAGATCCAACCTTACACTGCTGATAAGAACTTGTGGATCCATTTCTTTCAAGACAGTCTTTCAGGGACTCAGCTTAAGTGGTTCTATCAGTTGGACGGAGCCAGTATCCGCAGCTGGGAGGATTTGGCTACTGCGTTCTATAGGCAGTATCAGTATAACTCCGACCTCGCTCCTACGCGTACCCAACTCCAGGGTATGTCAATAGGGACGGGTGAAGGATTTAAAGAGTATGCTCAAAAATGGAGAGACCATGCCGGAAGGGTGCAACCACCTTTAGCTGATCGTGAACTTGTTGATATGTTTTTGGGGACCCTGTCTGGTCCATTCTTTAACCATTTGATTGGAAGCTCTTCATCCGGGTTTACAGAACTTATCTTGACTGGTGAGAGGATTGAAGCTGATATTAAGGCTGGGAAGATACAGAAGTGTGCCTCATCGGGCACCGAGAAGAAGTCGTTTAAGAAAGAGTCCAGTGTTGTCTACAGTTCAAGAAGACAGAATAGACCTTAACACCGTCAAGCTGTCAACGTGGTTGTTATTTCAAAACCTGCTGGTGCTCCTCAGCATCACAACCAACAAAGGGACGAGAGACCTCAAAGGCAATTCACTCGTCTCGGCATGACTTTGTCTCAGATTCTGCCACAGTTACTGAAGACCAATCTGGTGACTCTAAAAGAAGCTCCAAAGAATTCAAATATAACGTCACCAAGGTATAACCCTAACGCCCGCTGCGCTTATCACTCTGAGAGCCCGGGGTATAATACGGATGATTGTTGGCCTTTGAAGAACAAGTTCCAAGACTTGATTGATGCAAAGGAGATTGAGTTTGAGGCGCCCGAGAGGCCTAATGTTGTAACTGCTCCCATGCCCAAACATGGAGTAAATGCTATAGAGGAAGACTTATTTGTAGTTTCCGTGGATGATATTGTTACCCCTCTGATGACTGTCAAGAAGAACCTGTTGCTAGCCGGTTTATTTCTGGGCTGTGGCAAAGGTTGCCATATGTGTTCTGTTTTACCTACTGGTTACCCATCTCTGAAGTCAGGTATCCAAAACCAGATAGATAGCAAGGAAATCCTGTTTGAGAAGACTGTTGTTCCATCCGCTCCTACTAAAGAAGTTGCCATCATTACCATTTTCAACAATTCTTCCAAGGCTCCCCCGAGGAAGCCTGTTAGAATTACATCTTCTCCGAAGATCGCACCTGTGATCATCACTGTTCCGGGGCCCATCCCTTACACCTCTGACAAAACTGTCCCTTGGCATTATGGGGCAGATGTTTATGTTCTTGGAGTTAAGCAAGAGTTTGATGCTAATACCGGCGTCAGCAACATTACTGGACCTGCTAAAGTAACCCACAGTGGTAGACTTTTCTCACCTGATATTGCTCCACCAGCTGCCCGAAGACCTGTTATCATTTCACCTGCAAGTGTACCTACTTCCATTCCTGATCAAGTTCCTATTCCTACCCCTGTCGCCGAGTCACCTAACGCTCGGGGCAAAGGGATCACCACTGATATGTCTGCCCAGACGGAGGCGCCAAAGACAATCACTGTTGAAACTTCCAAACAGGAGATGGAAGAGATTCTGAAGATTATTAAGAAGAGTGATTATAATGTAGTTGAGCAACTGGGGCAAACCCCATCCAAGATTTCTATGTTATCACTGTTGTTGTGTTCAGAGGCCCATGCCAAGGCTCTGATTACCTTCCTGAAGTCTGACCACGTGCCACAACAGACGTCAGTTGATCAGTTTACCGACTGTGTGGCCAATTTAACCGCTGATAATGGTTTGGGATTCTCCGACGCCAATTTGACTATTAAAGGGAAGAACCACAACAATGCCCTGCATGTCTCCATTGAATGCAGGGGCACTACTCTTGCACATGTATTGGTGGATACTGGTTCTTCTTTGAACGTTTTGCCGAAGAAAGCTCTAGACTGGTTGGATTGCAAAGGGTTGGAGCTAAAGCCAAGTAACATCATTGTCAGGGCCTTTGACGGGTCTAAAAGGATGGTGCATGGTGAGGTTGATATTCCAATTAAATTTGGTTCTCAGGTCTTCAATTCTACATTCTACGTGATGGACATTCGGCCATCCTATTCTTGTTTGTTGGGTCATCCATGGATCCACAAAGCTGGAGCTGTAACCTCAACACTCCACCAGAAGCTGAAGTACTCGGTCAGAGGGAAGATTGTGACAGTTCAAGGGGAGAAGGAGTACATGGTCAACCACCTCAACTCGTTCAGATACGTAGAGATGGATGGGGAGTTCATTGAGACCCCATTTCAACACTTTGAAGAAGTTCCTCAGACACTAGCATCAGCTGAGACTATGGTTGAAGATTCCCCTATGAAGATGGCTTCCTTAAAGGATGCCCGGGCTGTTATTGAGAAGGGTGAGTGCGCAAATTGGGGCCGACTTCCTGATTTCACTCAGAAGACTAACAAGTTTGGTTTGGGTTTCACGGCAGAAGCTCAAAGGGTTGTTCGAAGTGCAAGGATTGGAAGACCTCTCGTGTTCATCAACAACTCTGGAGTAAATGCCATTGAGGATAATGTGGAGGAGTCTGAATTCGACAGCTGGATCTATCCTACGACCAACGGTGGACCAAGCAACTGGACAGCAAAGGACTTTATCCCTATTACATTTGTTACCCAATAATGAACTCTTTGTTTTGAACTTGTAACAGACAATATTGTGAAACTTCATGGCCCGGTGTCTTACCCGGGGCACCGTGGCTTCATTTGTGAGGGCTTTTGTGTGTCATTTTCATATATCATTAATAAAAGCATTGGACGTTCTTGCATTTCAAATTTTGTGCTCCTTGTCTTTCTTTATTATATATTGCAAAACAGCTATTTTACACACACTCACATATATAGGTCTCAATCCACTCTGGATCTCACTGGTAACGACTCTGCTACTGCCAGTTATGACTTCGAAAATCCGATCAACTTAGCCGAAGACAAAGGTGAAGACGATTGTGAAGTGCCAGGCGAGCTTGCAAGACTACTACTCCAGGAAGAGAGGGCCATTCAGCCACATGAAGAGCCGGTGGAAATGGTGAATCTGAGTACTGAAATAGACAAGAAGGAAGTCAAGATCAGTGCAAATCTGTAGCTTAGTGTGAAACAACGGTTGATTCAGATGCTGCATGACTATGTTGAGATCTTTTCCTGGTCTTATGAAGATATGCCTGGGTTGGATACTGACATTGTGGTTCATCGCCTTCCTACCAAGGAAGACTGCCCTCCCGTAAAACAGAAGGTTCGCCGTATGCGCCCAGAGATGTCCGAGAAAATTAAGGCTGAAGTTATGAAACAGTTTGACGTCGGTTTTCTAGCAGTGACTTCTTACCCTCAGTGGGTTGCCAACGTGGTTCCGGTACCGAAGAAGGATGGTAAGGTCCGAATGTGTGTTGACTACAGGGATTTGAACAAGGCAAGCCCTAAGGATGACTTCCCTCTACCTCATATTGACGTTCTGGTTGACAATACTGCTCAGCACAAGGTCTTCTCCTTTATGGACGGTTTCTCCGGTTATAATCAGATAAAGATGGCTCCCGAAGACATGGAGAAGACCACTTTTGTTACTCAGTGGGGTACCTTTTGTTACAAGGTCATGCCTTTTGGACTGAAGAATGTTGGGGCAACGTATCAGCGTGCCATGGTTGCTTTGTTTCATGACATGATCCATCATGAGATTGAAGTATACATCAACGATATGATTGCAAGGTCCCAAACTGAGGAGGAACACCTTGACCATCTACAAAAGCTGTTTGACAGGTTAAAGTTGTACAAGCTGAGATTGAACCCGAACAAGTGCACCTTCGGGGTGAGATCTGGTAAGCTATTAGGTTTCGTCGTGAGCGACAAAGGTATTCAAGTAGACCCTGCCAAAGTGAAAGCTATACAGGAGATGCCAGCTCCCAAGACAGAGAAGGAGGTCAGAGGCTTTCTAGGACGACTAAACTACATTTCCCGGTTCATCTTGCACCTAGCTTCTACTTGTGAACCAATCTTCAAGCTACTGAAGAAAGATCAAGTGGTACGTTGGAACGATGAATGCCAGGCCGCTTTCGAAAGAATCAAAGAGTATCTCCAGGAGCCACCCATCCTAATGCCACCAGTTGAAGGGAGACCTCTGATTTTATACTTAACAGTACTTGACAACTCAATGGGGTGTGTGTTGGGGCAGCATGACGAGTCTGGCCGAAAAGAGCATGCTATTTATTACCTTAGCAAAAAGTTTACCGACTGTGAGACCCGATACTCATTGCTTGAGAAAACTTGTTGCGCTTTGGCATGGGCTTCTCGCCCGCTGAGACAGTATATGCTGACTCACACTACTCTGTTGATTTCAAAGATGGATCCAATCAAGTATATCTTCGAAAAGCCTGCCTTGTCCGGAAGAATAGCAAGATGGCAGATGATCTTGACTGAGTATGACATCCAATACACAACTCAAAAAGCAATTAAGGGAAGTGTATTGGCAGACCATTTGGCACATCAGGCAGTGGATGATTACCAGTCTATGAACTTTGAATTTCCGGACGAGAATATCATGTTGATAACTGATTGTGAGACACCTGGACCGGATGAAGGACCTGAGGAAGGATCCCGATGGTCTATGTACTTTGATGGAGCTTCGAACGCTTTGGGTAATGGCATTGGTGCTGTGATCATATCTCCTAAAGGCTCTCATACTCCATTTACCGCCCGACTATGTTTCAACTGCACCAACAACATGGCGGAGTATGAAGCATGCATTATGGGTCTTCGAGCTGCAATTGACCTAAGGATTGAGTTTCTGAGTGTCTTCGGAGATTCCGCTCTCGTGATCAGTCAGATCAAAGGCGAGTGGGATACGAAACACCCAAACCTTATTCCTTACAAGGAGTATGTATTGACGTTACTTCCCCATTTCTAGGAGATAACCTTTGAACACTTCCCCAGAGAGGAGAATCAGCTGACGGACGCGCTAGCTACGATGTCTTCTATGTTCAAAGTCAAGTGGGACCACGAGGCTCCCCGAATCATTATTTGGAAATTGGATGAACCTGCACATTGTTGTGATCTTGAGACCGAAGAGGTAACAGAAAAGCCTTGGTATCATGAAGTGAAGAGGTACCTTGAAGCTCAAGAATACCCCGAGGGTGCATCTGTTAATGATAAGAAGTTTCTGAGAAGGTTCACGGAAAAGTTCTTCATCAGCAATGGCATTCTTTACAAATGTAACCATGATTCAACCTTACTGCGTTGTGTGGATAAGATTGAAGCAGAAAGGATCATGGCAGAGCTGCATGAAGGTACTTTCGGAACTCATTCCAGTGGACATACCATGGCAAAGAAAATCCTTCGGGCAGGATATTACTAGTCCACAATGGAAGCTGACTGTTATCATCATTCTCGGACATGTCACAAGTGCCAGGTCTATGCTGATAAGGTGCATATTCCTCCAGTTCCTCTGAATGTTTTGACAACACCTTGGCCTTTTGCAATGTGGGGCATTGATATGATTGGCGAGATCAGACCTACGACATCCAACGGGAATCGTTTCATCCTGGTAGCGATTGATTACTTTACGAAGTGGGTTGAAGCAGCTTCTTTTTCTACGGTAACCAAGAAAGTCGTGGCACGGTTCATTCGACACAACCTAATCTGTCGATACGGTGTACCAGAGAGGATAATTACGGACAATGGTACCAATCTTAATAACAAGATGATCACTGAGCTCTGTGAGCAATTCAAGATACAGCATCACAACTCATCTCCCTACCGGCCGAAGATGAATGGGGCTGTCGAAGCGGAAAATAAAAACATCAAGAAGATTGTGCAGAAGATGACAATGACCTACAAAGATTGGCACGAGATGTTACCATTTGCTCTTCATGGGTACCGTACCTCAGCACGGACGTCAACAGGGGCAACACCCTATTCCTTGGTTTATGGCATGGAGGCAGTCTTGCCCATTGAAGTTCAGATACCCTCTCTTCGGATCATGAAGGATGCAGGTTTGAGTGAAGATGACTGGATTCAGACCCGACTTGATCAACTGAATCTAATCGACGAAAAGAGACTTACCGCTATTTGTCATGGTCAGACGTACCAAAAACGGATGATCAAGGCATTTGACAAGAAAGTCCGACGACAAGAGTATCAAGTCGGGGACCTGGTAATCAAGCGCATTATCTTACCTCAAGGTGATCCCAGGGGCAAATGGACCCCTACTTACGAAGGGCCATTTGTGGTTAGGAACATTTTCTCAGGAGGAGCGATGATTCTAACCACCATGGATGGTGACGACCTTCCTCATCCTGTCAATGCAGACATAGTAAAAAGATACTACGCATAATCAAAGACCCGCTAGGTTGATTGACCTAGGCAAAAATAAGGGCTTCCCGGCGAACCAAAAGGGTTCGGGCAAAAATAGGGGATGAAAATGAAAAATCTGTACACCCGGCAAGTCGAAAACCTAAAAAGGCAGCTTGAGCAAAAATGGGTATCCCGGTGGACTGAAAACCCGAAAGGGTGGTCCAGGCAAAAGTTAGGGATCAAAGCGTAATACTATGTCTCATTGGATCACCTTGCATCCAGACTTCGGTATCAACTATCAAGCTTAGACAACACTAATCAATCAGTTTCATCTTCAACTAAGCAACAAAGTGATGAGATGCTCGAGGATATAAAAGCAATAACAGAGTTGGAACCCAGTGGGGTTATTCACATAGCTGTTTTGTTTTCCTTTCACAAATTGTATAAATCCTATTTGTTCGGCGGCGTTCTCTTACTAGGACGTCAGCCTCTTGTACAAAAGCACCTATTTACAGGCAAACTTCAAAATCAATACAAATTCATTTTCAGACAAATTTCAAACTGTTTTTCCTTTATCTGTTTTGTTTTGCAAAGAACGTCCAATGTTCATTTTTGATATATGCATTTGACATTAACTGCTGATCATAAATACTTACATGCGAAAAGAAAGATGAATTACTTGTAATATTAGAAACATGGACAATAAGAATTGTCCGAGCTGTCTAGTTGCTCTGTCCACCAAGGTACCAAGGTAGGTTCAGCTGAAGAATGTGACTAAGATACTGTCACTCCCCGCAGAATAAAAACAGTAATGGTGGCTCTCCCCATCGAGACTTGCAACCATGAATGAATCAGCAACACTCTCCCCTAAGCAGAGTCAGTCTACCATCAGCCCTAAAAAGGTCGGTATCCCCAGAAGGTCTTAATATTCCCCAACGGAGTATAAAGACATTCTCCAGCAAGCGTAAGAGCATCCCTGTCAGTCTTAATATTCCTCGACAGAGTATAAGAATGTTCCCCGACGGAATACAAGATACCCCCAGTGGAGCCATTTCCCCAGCGCAGTCTAAAAAAGTTTCCCCAATGGAGTTGAATCATCTTCCCCAGTAGATTCTGGAAGCTTATCCCCTGCGAAGCACAAATAAGTCTCCCCAGCCAAATTCAGAAGGTTATCCTCACAAAAGCCTAACTGGGTTATCCCCAGCAAATTGCAACTGAAAGATCATCCCCATCAAAGTTCTTTCTTTCTCCCCAGCAGGACTTCTATCCTCAACAGGTTCAATATCACCAGCAACGGTAATATTGCCCGAGAGTAATCTCTTCATCAGCTTATTCCCCAACAGAGCTTATCAGCGGAATCCCCAGCGGAGTTTATCATTAAAATCTCAGCAAAGCATCTCTTCCCCACAAAGTAATTCCCCGCAGAGTAATCTCTTTATCAGCTTATTCCCCAACGGAGCTCTTTTCTCCTGCAACTTTATTCTCGCAAATCATCTTTGTCCATCGTCCCCATCAGAAATGAAGAACTCAACTCTACTCTCCAGCGGCTCCGGGATTTATTTTCCCCAGCTAAAGCATCATTTCCATACATCATGATACATGCATTTAAGTTCTCAACTTAGTCAAAGATCTGACCAGTTTTTAAATCTCAATTAAATTATCCTCGGTTGAATTTCAGATAAGGTTCTCAATCTCGACAGTTTTTCTCCGTCATAGTGTGGACGAGTACTATAACCTCAACGGTATACTCCATTGAGCATGAGTCAGTTCCTAGATCTTGATGAAGATGTTTCCCTACGTCATAGT